CGGTGTGCAGGGGTTGGGGCTTTGGCCGGGCTCGGTGTGCAGGGGTTGGGGCTTTGGCCGGGCTCGGTGTGCAGGGGTTGGGGCTTTGGCCGGGCCCAGTGTGCAGGGGTTGGGTCTTTGGCCGGGCCCGGTGTGCAGGGGTTGGATTCGTGGGCAGACCTAGTGTATGTGGCATTAGGATGGGGCAGGAGTCAGTGACCAGACCTGGTGTGTGGAGGGGTAGGATGAAGGGGGGGGCGAAAAGCAGACCTGGTGTGTAAGGGTTGGGCCTAAGGCCAGGACTGGTGTGTGTTTGGCAGGGGATGGGGGGCAGTGGCCAGACCTGGTGTGTGGCAGGGGGGCCACTGACCATACCTCTGCTCACTTCATTTCCTTCAAGCCATGGTAATGTAGTTGCCACGTCACGCTGCTCATTGTTGTCACTCTGTGTGGTCACGCTGCTCATTGTTGTCACTCTGTGTGGTCACGCTGCTCATTGTTGTCACTCTGTGTGTAAATTACAACTTGTCCTTCTCTCCACAGCAAAAAGTGGTGCGCTACTTCCCCACCGAGCGCGGCCAGCCCGTTCTTCATGGACAGATCACGCTGACTCTGACCAGCCATAAGGTGGCCGACACGCACGTGGAGAGAGTCATCTCGCTGCAGTACAAGGACCAGAGCCTGAAACGCTCCATCATTCACCTGCAGTTCACCTCCTGGCCGGAGCTGTACGTCCTCCACGTTATTTGTACAACGATGAAAAGCTGAACCCGGGCCGAGCCACGAAATACACAGAGAGATGACATATGGGGGGGATGTTTTATCTGCCAAAGGATTCGTAGTTCTGTCCATCAAGTCTTAAGATTTACACAGCTCTGCCACATAGCACAGGCCTGTCTGCCAGGGGAGGAGACCTGATTTTTCTCTGCTGCAGTTCAGGAACACTCGCAGGTCTTGTCCCTCCCCCAAGCCTGTAACTGGACAGTGAAGGAGAAGAAAGAGACTGATGAGCTCCTCTCTCTCTCTTCTCTCCTATCAGCAGGTTTCTTCTTAGCACACGAGTACTGTATGTCCATCCGAAGCTTTTATTCTCAGTTTCGGTTTGATTGAGGAAGGATTAGAACCCATTAGGTTTTTTTTACTTCTCTCTGGGGCTCCATTAGAGAGATTTCCCCTCACTTCCTGTCCTGCTGAATGCATTTTACCAGACAGGAAGTGGTGGGGACTCTCCAGCAGCAGCCCAAACCGAAATGAAAAAAGCTTTTCTTTAGTGGAGTAGGAAAAGGCTCGGTCAGGTTTTTATTTCTGCTTGTGTCTCAGTTTCAGATTTTCCCTCACTTCCTGTCCGGTAAAACAGACCGCAGGAAGTAAGAGGAGAGTTTAGTAGAAGCCAGTCAGGGTTCCAGTCCTTCTGTACGCTCTCAAAAACGACAAAAAATAGATTTCTCCTCCATTGATGGACAGAGGAAATCATTAACCTTTCGGGTTATACTTCCGCCTACAGGAGGATTGGACGCTGGCAAACAAAAGTATTGTTGGCTAGGATAACCCCTCCCACTACCGGCGTGCCTCCCTCTTTTGGATGAGGTTGACCTTTGGCATGGTTGGCGTCTCTCTTCTTGGTCCTCGGGTATCAGGCGTAGTCCTCCA